CATTTTTAGTAAGAAAAAAAAAAAAAAAAAATTTCTTTTTATTTTTATTTCAAAATATTGTTTCTTTTTTTTTTCAAAGTATTTTCTTGATGAATTACACGAACAAGGTAAACTTCATTCAATGTCACTATGGGTCGAATTATTTGGTATTATTTCCAATGATGAACGATTTAGTAAAATGCTTGGTCAACCCGGTAAAATAAAAAAATTTATCATATATTTTTATTTAATTATCTTTCTTGTATTTATAGGTTCAACACCATTAGATTTATTTAAGCTTTATGTTGAAGATTTAAAAGCACGTTTTCATGATGAAAAAAAAGTAGTTAAAGAAATATTAAAAGATAAAGGTTATTCAATTGATATTGATTCAACATTTGAAAAATTCGCTGAAATTATTTCAACTGATAAACGTGCTGCAGCTTTAGATGCTGGAAATATAAAATTAGCATTTAATAGTGTATGTATTATTTATTTTCATATTTTTTTTTTTTTTATATTCTTATTTTAGTTAATGGAAAAAGCTGAAATAAAAGAAAAAGAACGTTTAAAAGAAGAAGCACGAAAAGTAAAAAAATTTTTTTTTTTTAATTTATTTTAAATATTTTTATTTTATTTAGCAAAAACGACTTGAATCCAATTTTAAACAATTATTAAAAGCAAAATTAGATTCATTAACTGAACAATCAAAATGGGACGATGTTAAAGGACAAATTGAAAATGACAATGATTATCTTGCACTTTCATCCGAATTAGATCGTATTCGTCTTTTCGAAGAATATCATCGACAAGTTATTGCTGAAGCACAAGCAGCAGCCGCAGCTGCTGCTGCTGCATCTCATCATTACCATCATCATCATAAAAAAGCACGAAAAGAAAAGAAAAAACGTAAACATGAAAAATCAAGTAGCAGTAATGCAGCAGCAGTGAGTGTAAGTAGCAAAATCCAGATTGAACCTAGCCGTTTAAGCTTTTTCTCAAAATTAGTTTTTAAATGAGTAAATCCCAATTGGATCTAAGTTGTCATAAAAAAAAATCACAACTCAAAAAAATTTCTGGTCTTATCTTCCTAAAGGAATCATTTAGGAATTTTAAGTGTGTATGACAACTTTAATTCTATGTATCGTTCGATTGCCGAGAAATTTTGGAGGGACCTCATAAGAAAAATTAATAATTTAAAAAAATGTTTTACACTTTTTTTAAACAATAAAACTTGTTAACAAAGAAAAAAGTATTGAAATTTATTTATTTAGGAATCCGATAATGAAGAAAAAAAGAAATCTGCAACATCAACAGCTGCTCCAACAACTACAATTCCTACACCTCAACCAGCCCTACCAGATGCACCCGAAAGTGATGAAGGCGAAACAAAGGATAGTGATGGTGGTGCACCATCTAGTTCTGCTCCAACAGCTCCAACATCTGAATCAACAACAGGAACGAAAACAAAGAAAAGTAAAAAATCAAAGAAAAAACGCAAGAAGAAAGCAACATCTGGTCATTCATCAGTTCGTATATTTTTTTTTTCATATTACTGAAATAATTTATTTTGTTTTTCAGAGTGAAAGTGAATCAGATGATGAATCAGCAAGTGGATCAACAAAGAAGAAAAAGAAAAAAGACAAATGAATGAATAGAGATTAGATTTAAAAAAAACTCATATGTAACTTTTCCTATGTATTGTAATTGTTCATGTTTACTTACAAGTTTTGTTGTTTGATGAAAAAAACATTTAATTAACATAATTCTCTTCTTCGATTATGAAGAGATAAATTTTCTTGTCTTTTTCAGATTTTATAAAATTTATCTTTTCTCTTTAACATTATACCATAATGTCCAGTAAGTTAATATTATAAAAATTTAAAATATTCGGCCTTTTCTCAGCTGTTATCTTATAATTCAAATCTTCCTAGTAAAACTATAATATATGTAATGGATTATGCATTAATAAAGATTAACGTTTTTGTGAAATATGATCTAAGTATAGTGTTGAAATATAATATCTCCTACTTTTGGGAGTGATTATTCAATGGTGATTAAAAAATTTCATTGAGAATATCAAAATACGGTTTGACTGGGTGAGAACATTTTCGGATTCAACAAAATCATCTCCCTTTGATTAGGAAGAATTCGTAATTATGAACTTTCTTAATTGTTGAATTTTATCTTTAGGTCTTTATACACGCTCACAAATGCCAGATGCTAAAGTAGGCTGTGCTAAATGTGGATATGGTATGTAGAAATTTTTTTTTTTCAATCGAACTATTTATTTTTCTTATTTAGTTGGTCATTTAACTTATCAATGTCGTAATTTTATTCAAATAAATCCATCAAAAGCTGCTGTACTTGACGTTAGTTCAACTAGTTCACCATCGAGTGATGATGATAATGATACACCTCTTCAATTACTTGCTCGAGGTAAATATTTTTTATTTAATTTGACTGTTTGTATAAATAATCTATATCTATCTATAGAAGAAATTAATCGTGAAAAACAGCAATTAGAAAAAAAAGAAACAGAAACAAACAAAAAGTCTAAAAAACGTGACAAAGCAAAACATAAACGACAGTAAATATTTTGTCGTATGTTAAAGATATTTTCAAAATGAATATATTTCATTTTAGTCGATCACCAAGTACAAGTAGTTCATCTGAATCGGAATTGGATTCGAAAAAAACTAAAAGAAAACGTAATCATAAACATCGACATCATTCATCAAAATCAAAGAAATCTAAAAAAGAATCAAAACATCGTCGTCATCATTCTTAATTTCAATAACATTATTATGTTTACAAAAATTATCTTGTATATTTGTGTTCTTTTTGTTGTTTACTTTCTGAAATTCTATTAACTGGTGATTATTACATAGTTGCCTATAATAGATCTTATTTTGTTTGTGGTTAAAATATCTACCATTATTCGTTATGCTATGAATCAATTTATTGAATTTTACTGGTGTTATAATGATGCTAATCTGAACTTTTTTATTTTTGAGAAAGAATTTTTCGTTTACAGATGAATTTTCTAACATCTTATATACTTAGGGGTACTCAAAAGTCGTGGCGGAGGTACCTTATTGTCGTATAGAAGGCTTTAGGAAATTTTCTATTTTTATGAAATGATAGAAAAAACAAAACTCTATTTTTCTGTACTATTTCATCCCTATTCATCTGGTACTATAATAATAAAATGTCGATAGAAACTGTTTTTTGTTGAAAACTTAACTTACGGATGAGACAAATTATATAGTTGCATTTTGTATTTCAATTTTGAATCACTTAATATGTTGTAATAAGAAACAAAATATATCACAAGATGCAGCGTGAAAAGCTCTACAATTTACATGCGACAGCTTATTTCATATATGAGACAAGAACAAAGGAATTTCTCTTCGTANATCATAATCAAACGATCATTAAAGTTCCATCGACAACGTTTGAATGGTGATCAACAATTTAATAATGAATTGATTTTTTTCATGAAAAAAAAAAGATTGTGGTATGTTAAATTTGATAAAGTTATTGTAACGTTTTGTCACCAATACAACCTGTGACACATACGGTACAGAATTGGAATGAAAAAAAGAAATAACTATAGTAATTGTGAAGTCTACATATGAAAGTAAAACGAGAGGTGAAGAGAACGACCAAAAAATTTCAATAAATTGTGTTCGATAATGACAAAATGTATAAGCCATCAGTACAGTTTCATATTCTATTGAAAGTGAATTATATGATCACTCGTTATGAATGCATCTCATTGTCCTAATAAAATTTAATACTGTTTACATTGCATTGTACTAGACATGAATTCTCACCCTTTAACACTTACAATTAAAAATTGAACTAATTATTTTATTATTCCACCTATCAACAGGTAATGCACTCATCCATTTTTGACCTTTGCATTGTCATAACTTAACAATTTCAAGTGGCAAAGAACGGAATTTTAAACTGCAGTAAGATACTTGACAAAATTTTCATTTCATCTGGTCGAATGGTGACAATAGTAGAACGATAAAACATCGCAGTAGTGCACTCATCCAAAAGGACTTCTTTCATCAGAGAAATCTAAGGTAGCTCACATTTCTAATTTTTTTTCGCTCTAAGCAAAATGTTTTTATTTGTGTTCGAATTTAAGACAACAGACATACGAACAGTTATCATCAAAAACATTCAATAGAAGGTGAGTGGTACATTAATATCAAACTATAGCTAGTATTTCTATTTTGTCAAATGATAGAAAACATTAAGAACTTTTTTCTTCATCATTTTGGCACGAAAAATACTTGATTTTGACTGGCAACCATTGTTCATTCTCGTCATTATTCAAAACAAACGATATCCATCGATAAAGAATGTACGAAAAACTATTTAAAAACAAGTTTGGTCGCTTTACGCTCGAGTAAATCTCTGCTCAACTTGGACAAACTGTGCTATGTCCATGAAATATGTACAAAACCAAAGCTAAGTTGTTCACATAATACACAATATAGAGGAGAACGTGTTCAGTTGTCACAGATCATTCAAAATATCTACTAACAACACCGTCGATATCACTCCGAAAGCAATGGATTGAATGTATAATTATATCTATCAAAGTCTAATTGATGCCAATACTGAAATATTTTTGTTTCAGTCAAACAGAGAACTTAACAGTACTCCATGATATCACAAGTTTGTTCAATTGACAATGCAATTTTATTTGTTTTGAAAATTAAGGTTCAAACAAAACAAAATCTTTTTATTTTGTATTACAATTCGTACCAAAAAAGAAGAAATAGTCCACAAGGTAATTAAGTTTTACTACACTACCATAAACATAGAATTTATTTATGGTAGTATCTTGATACCGTCAATAACTGATAAAGAATTAATGCAAAAAAAAGCTAGTAAACGTAGTTGAAATGTATCCTTCAGATTTGATAAAGTCTCCATAAGAACAAGAAAGAGTATAAAGGTTTTATATTTTCGAAGTGAAAGTTGATACTTGAGTAAATATGAAAAGTCTAATTTTGATTCATGTTTTGTTTAATGCTGCTGCAAATGCTCAATCATCCTGTAATCGAGTATCATTCGTCGACCGAAAAGGATGGAATGCACGAGAACCAACTTCAATAACAAATTTAGCAGGAAAACCTCTTTCATTTGATGTTATTCATCATACTTATCAACCTCCAAAGTAAATATTTTCTGAGTAAAATTATTTAACTAATATCATTATTGATAGTTGTTATGATGATGAATGCATTTAACGAGTGCAAACTATTCAAGATTTACATCAAAATGATCGAGGATGGGTAGATATTGGTTATCATTTTCTAGTTGGTGAAAATGGAAAAGTTTATGAAGGAAGAGGATGGAATCGTCAAGTTGCTCATTCACCAGGATGAAATAATGATGCATATGGTACTTATTTTTATCTATTATTTGGATGAATCCGTTGGATTTTTACTACTTTGTGCAAAAAAGAGTATTTGGTGTTGATATTCCGAAAGAAAGTTTTTTTCCAATTTCGACTATCTTGTTAGATGTATCATCATCGAAAATGATCTATGACCTGAATGAAAAAAATCCTCTATTCTTGTTACGGTCAGTTTTCGACGATGACTCACCAACTCTATATATTTATCTATTTCTAATATTGATCTTTTCTTTTCAAGGTATTTGTATCATCGGTGATTTCAGAACATCATCTCCAAATGAAAAAGCATTAGAAGCAACACGTTTATGGATTGATTGTGGTATTGAACGAGATCATGCAACGGAAGCTTATTATATTATTACTCATCGACAATTATAACGACCAGGTTATACAGAATGGTAACGTTCTTTTCACATGTTTTCTTTATTTTGATAAAGAATTTTTTAGTCGTGGTAATGGTACATTAACTGTTGTAAAAAGATGATCTCGATTTTGTTCATTTCAAAATTCTGGAGCGAATTTAACTGGAAATGAAATCCAACTATCTATTGGTCGTAATTTCTGTGAAAAAGAATTAGAATTATCATCATCTTCAGGACATCTAATTAAAACGATTATTTTATTTCATCTTTATTCATTTATTTTATATAATAAAAAACATTTTTTGTTCATCACATTCAAGATTTCTATTTTCTACATATATACAAAAATCAACGATAA